GTCCCCCGCTTAGCCTTCTTCTTCTTCTTCTACCGCCCCAGCTATCTTTACTGCCGCCTTTCCTTAGTCTTTCATCCCCTCTCCCCCTCAGCAAGCTATATTATGAAGTTTGCCTCAGACGGCACTGCACGCCTAACACGGTGCGCGCGCATGCGCAATATCTCCCGAGAGAAATTGTATTTTGCAAAGATTATACATTTAAAAAGAAGAGGAGTTATCCTAGCATAGAGTTATATGATAACACTCCATGAATAGACATCATTTAAGAAATAGAAGGAATTCCTTGCATGTAAGGTCCCCGCTGCGTATACAAGCCAGTACACAATCTGGCTACGTTAGTGTGTTAGCGCATGCGCAATATCTCACCAGAGGAGTTATATTTTGCGATGAATATACATTTAAAATGGTTCGGGGATATCTCAGCATAGATTTCCCTAATAAACTTTTATCAGTAAACCTGTATTTATAATTAGAAGAGCGCCCTAGCGTGTAGGGTACAAAACACCTACTTTATGCCCTCGCGTCCTACCCCGTCCTGTTCATCGCTCAGCCTCCTTCTTCTATCTCCCCCAGCTATCTTTCCTGCCGCCTTTCGTCAGTCTCGCATCCCCTCTCCTCCGCAGCCAGCTATATTATAAAGTTTTCCTCAGACGGCAATGCACGCCTAACACGGTGCGCGCGCATGCGCAATATCTCCCGAGAGAAATCGTATTGTGCAAAAATTATGCATTTAAAATGAAGAGGAGTTATCCTAGCATAGATTTATATGATAACATTCTATCAGTTGACATCATTTAAAAAATAGGAAGAAGACCTTGCATGTATGGTCCCCGCTGCGTATACCAGCCAGTACACAATCTGGCTAAGTTAATGTGTTAGCGCATGCGCAATATCTCACCAGAAGAGTTATATTTTGTGATGAATATACATTTAAAATGGTTAGGGGATATCTCAGCATAGATTTCCCTAATAAACTTTTATCAGTTGACCTGTCTTTATAATTAGGAGAGCGCCATAGCATATAGGGTACAAAACGCCTACTTTATGCCCTCGCGGCCTTCCCCTTGCCTCCCCTGTCCCTTGC